TAAAGATATAAATCGCGAAACAATTTACTTACTGTCAAATAAATCAAGAAGTTTTCGTATATATGCTTCTGGTGCGACACGGGCTCTATGTCTCTCTCTCTCTCTTTTTCTCTCTCTCCATTTCTCCATTGCATACAAGTTTTCGCGGATGCAGCGAACTTGCATGCACATGGTGGAAAAATGCACACACGAAATCGTACGGCATAGTCAATCAGACGAACAACAACGTGAACAGAAAATAAATGACAACCGGCGCAAAAAGCCACTAAATAAATCTATTGCCTTATAAATATCAACAAGTAATGCGAATTGCACGCAATATCAACAGGCGTTGTCAAAAGTAGGCAAACAAAGCCAAAATGAACACTACAACGACGGTGAACACTGGTTTAGCCAAACCATCGACAGAGAAAGATAAGAAACATTGGTGCCCAGGGATCTATGCGTGAGCGCATACGTACAACAAAATCAAAAATAAATTTTCTTATTAGTCACTAACTGAAAATCTGGTATTTTGTTGTGGTTGTTGTCGCTTTTTTGCGGCTATAAAACTTACCTTAACCAGAGATAATGATGCATTTAGATATAAATTACGACAAAAAAAAGGTTTTGCTTTCTTGTGCACACGTTGCACATACGGCAACTAAACCAAGACGATTTGATTGAGCAGCTAACGAAATAGAGAGAAACGAATGAGGAATGAGAAAAAAACAAAGAAACACACATTGGCTGGAAACCAATTTGACTTGGCTGGCGATACGGAGGGAATGCGTGCGTAAAATGCAATTGTTCATTTCATGGTTCTTTAACCAGATTGTCGAATTCACGACCACACTTTACATGGCTGCTTGTCTTCGTGTTAATTGACTATGCGCCCGACGAACATTATTTCGTTCAAATTAATTGCGCGATTTTTTAAAACACATTTTGCACTATTTCGGGATATGTATCAAAGCTTTACAATTAATCCGTTACAATATTATTGAATGGACTAATGGATATTTTAGGTGGGGCAGTAAAATTTTATTCACCTGAGATTTTCATTCAATGTTGCAATTGGTTGATCATTAAATTATGGTTGATTTGGTTCTTTTGCTTGAAAAAGCGAAGTTCAACACGTAAATTAGTTACCAAGGTCCATTCAGAATGGGCCACTCCTGTACAAATCAGGCTGATCTTTCCCTAAATGGATGGCCTCACTTTCACTAAATGGATCGACGAATTTCATTAAATCAGTTCATTTGTATCAATCGGGATGATGTTGGTCTCTTGCAAATAGCCAACCATCCACTTATACTTTAATTATTGTAATCAAATTGAAATTTTCAAAGCATTTCCAAAATACAACGAATGGAAATTGGACTGACTGTGCCATGATTCGATTCAATGAAGCAGCTTTTGTTGAATATATTGGAATATAGTGCAGAAAAAAGACGCACACAAATATGGGGAAATAGAACGTTTTGCAAAACAATGTTCGTGTACGCATTGAGCTGCTTGCTATTTAGACTGATCACTGTGATATGCAAATGAAGTGCAACAACGCACAACATCACAAAGAATATTTAGATTTGAACGGCGGCGGCTTTGCCGGTAAAAAAAAAATTAATTGCACAAAAACACCATTTCCATTTTCAGTGAATGAGGGGAACAAAACGCACCGTGCACACGAAGCTTAATAATCTCATTTCTTATTCATTGCTCATGCAAATCAAAGAAATGATATCACTTTTTTTCTGTGGTTCTTCAATCAGATCAACAATAAAATAAAGACGTTGGATAGATTCGGTTTGTGCGAATGTTTTGTGCACGTATTGCAACAACAGAGATAGCGAGCGAGAAAAAGAAGAAGAGAAACGAATCACTTGAATCCGTTAAGACAAAAATGGAAGCGCGTACATGCGCTAGTCAAACGCTAGTTTTTGTGTATAATGTAATCAATGAAATAAAAAAGAATCAACGAAAAAAAGCAAGCAAATAAAAAAAACACGAGGTACATTGGCCGTGTAAATTGTGGTGAAATGCAAGTTGGTCAAAACAAACGGATCAAATCAAACAAGTATTAAACAATTTTAATCTGGCGTGTTACATGTAATCCCTAGCGGATTGGATTGGCTGCGAAAGCAACGCAAATCGGATGAAAAAACACATAGGGAGAATCCCAATTGAAACCCAACAATTTATTTTCAATTCATTTAATGTGAACACACTTCAACACGTGTTTTGCGTGCCTTTCGGTCTATTCTAATGACTCAATGTATTTCGTTTGCATAAAACATCATCATTTCTGATGAGATAAACAATACCGATCAGCCAAATGGATGTGGTGATTTTTGCAAGTGCTTTGGAAAGCACGAAAAGAGAAAAATTCCACCATGAATTAATGCAAGAATTTGCTAACGTTTCCACTAGATAACTGTGAGTCGACGCACTTTTGATTGAAAATTAGAAGAAAAAAAAAACAGAAATCAGACGAAACAAAGAGTAATCTGATGTTCGAGGCGGGAACGTGCAAAAAGTAAAATCCAAAGTTGCGAGCGTTATGATACGGATCCAATTCTAATGAGAAACTAACAGGAAAAAAAAACTTTCATTCAAAATCTCATCGAATTCACATGATTCGATACGTTAGGTAATAATTTCTTCTTCATTTTATTTCTCTTCAATTTCGATTGAAATCATTCGATTGTGAGTCGGTTTCGTTTTTCACTAGGCGCGCTGAAGAATGAAATTGTACACACCTGACGACTTTTGACACCATGAGAGTATAGAACTTGAGCCCATATATATACAAACACACATACGCTTCACTTTGCATATATTCGCTCACGTTCATTTCACGGCGAAAAATTAATAATCTCCATTCAAAATGATGGAGAAGAAAGAAGAAGAAGAAGAAGAAAAAAATACACCGGCTCTTCAGTTGAGCTTTCGTGCGGGAAATGAACGAGATGGATGTAACAAAAACATGATAAAAACTGCATAAATTATTTACGCAATCGATTACGGCTTTGTTTTTCATTTCCAATTACCCAGATACTATTTTTTTTGTCTTCTCCTTCATTCGTGTTGTTTCCAGTGTATTTATAAATCTATGGAAAGAAAAACCTTTCTCAGAATGAAATCGGATGCACACTGCACAGTCAACAAAGATAGCCCACCAAATCACTATGGAAGCATCTGCATTTCATCAAAATCTAACTGTTGGATTGTTCAATAGCAGAGAGAACAAAAACGAAAAGCAGAAAAAAGCGTACGAAACAATCTGAACAATATAAAAGCTGTTGCAAATGGTTTCATTCGATGATATCATGCGGCATGAGAAGGAATTACAAAAATGACGGCAAGTGAAACATCCAAAAGACGTGCATAAAATCATATTAAAAATGATTTTCTTCGTATAAAAAGCAATAATCTATAAGCGGTGCACAGCATCACAACAGTAACAACAACAACAATGAAATTAATCACAAGTAATAACGATTGTTATGTAGAATCTAATGAATGTAATTTAGAAAAAAAACGTTGTCTGGACCAGACACACCGGAATGGGCAGTGAATGCACTTGAAAACGGTGCACAATCTGAACTGTTTTGATGCAATCAAAGTGAATCGTTCAACAAACCGAATTCCTATGATTAAATCAACACGTTTATTTCATGGGTCTTTATTTATCGGGCGAAAAACCGCCACAATACCGTTTGTCCAGCATTTTCTTAATCGCACAAACGGCTGTTTTTCCATGAAACCGATATTCGTTCGGAACAGTAGCCAATTTGTATGCCGATGTTGAAAACTAGACACACGGTAGTTTTCATAAAATGAAAATTGGTTTTGATCGCTTCACACTGCGAATCGGCCAAATGTTCTCTGCTAACGAGTGACTACGCAGCAGAGTGTCATTGATTGAATATTCATCAATGATGTTTACTACCTGGTAGCAACATTCAGCCTAAAATTTCCATCATCAAATTGAAACTGATAAGAGAATTGAGTGCGCTGTCGAGAGAAGCCAAAAATACAGCATTTATTGAGGAATTCCAATGGAATAACATTTAGTAATGGACTATTTGTTATTTAAAAGGTAACAGGTTTGAAATGCAAATGCACTGTGCTGTGCTGCGTGTGCACCATTAATTACTAAATCCATGACCGGTCGCGTAACCCATATGCATAAATCGGCCAATACGCAAGAGACGAACGAAAAATAAAATGTTAAAATTGTTTCCAAATTTTATTGATATTTAATTGCATTAATGGTACTTATTTCGATATAAACCACTTGCTCTGCCGACCGAAATCAGTACGAATTTATTTTAAGCCAATTAAATTTTGGGCAATGCGTTATACGCACTCACGAAAAAGCGTGGAAAAAAAAAGAACGCGCGAGAAAAAAGAATCGAGCGTCTCCTGTGAAATTATTTTGACTTTTATGTGGCCGTTAGAACAATGTTTTTATGGCGTTCTCATGACATCTCGGTAAATGAACAGTCGCCAAAAGAAAATCTCCGGCAACCTATTAAATTAGTAGCTCACGATTCACTTTAGCATTTGACCACGACAATCGACTTAAAATGATATTGCCTTATTTATTTCGCCCGTCCTCCAAACGAACGTGTTCTGTGTGCGTGCACTGGTCAGGTGCAAGAGGACCGCTATTTTGTTCTTCCTCTTGTTGCTTTTTTTTATTGTCGCTAACTCGAAAAACGAAAACAATAAAAAATTTCATACAAAATGGAACTGTGCGCACATTCGAGAAGTTTTCAACACGGATTTTTTTTTTTGTCATTTTGCTCAATTTTTTTTCTCGGTTTTATTTTTAAGTATATGGCAATAAATGAAATTATCACATATATACACTCAACAAATGCAAATGTTCGCTTAAATTCGCTCGAAAATGAATTAACGTGCATTCAAATGGCCGCGTAAAAGAACCAATTGCCCGTTTGTCTCATTTGTATGTTTTTTTTTTTTAATATTTTTCGCTTTTTGATGGACAGAATGTACGTTGGCACCATTCGTGAGCGGATCATCGTCGGAGAAAATACCATTCGTATTCCTACCGTTGCGTGGTCAGATCATCCATCCCAGCAAAGAGATTAGCTTCCAAGGTACGTCAATTTGTAGTTAAACACATTGAATATATTTTCGTATAAAATATAAATGAACAATCTCATCAACGCATCAAAGTCAAGTTTATTCTTGTCGTTGCTTCTCCACCGTCTTTTTTTGCATTGAGTAGACTTTAAATAATTAGCCAACTCATTTGTATCGATGATGTATTTGCAAGTGAATAAAATTTCAGCACCAACCAAATAAAGTGTTCAATGGAACGACGCGAATTTTATGCAATCGATGAAAAGGGGAGAAAGAGTGAGAGAGAAAGACAGGGAGAGAGAGAGAGAGAGATCGTTACCCACCACAAAGTGGGCTTTTTTCGGCCAATTTGCTTTCGCATACGAAAATCATCATAAACGCGTGAATTTATGCGCCACCGCGATAATTGTCGCTTTCTCAACCATTATTCAAATGAATAAAATTAACCAATACGTTAAACCCAACGCAAGCCATCGATTTCAATCAGCTGATTGTAAATCTAAGCAAAAATTGCATCCGGGACTATTGAATGTTTTTTTTTTTTTAATTTCATTCGTTTTTCTTGGTTAAACATAGAAGCTGTGCGTAGTAACAATCGTTTGAACATTACAACATTGTACAACAAATGATGGCAAATGACCAAAAATCACCATTTTCTGGACACGTTCAATTGTTCGAGAATGCTTTCTCATTTCTCCATTTTATTTCCCATTTATGTGTTTGATTTGCCAAGCAATTGGTTCGGGTTTTTCCATAGCTCGCTTCCACAAGACAAAATCAATATTTACCAAACATCAAATCTATAACTAAATCGAGCAAACAGTAAACAATTGCGCGTTGTGGGTTTTCGATTTTCGGTTCGTTCATTTATTTCATCAAACAATGAGCGAACAAGAGATTTGTCTCACCATAAAGTTCAACATCTTCTTCACACTTGACTTGATTTTGGTATTGATCGAATACACATTTCGTTTGACTTCGTTTTCGGGCAACATTTCCATTCGATGGATATGTTCACTGAGAGTGCGTTGTATGGCGCATTACAATTTTAAAAATAGACGTTTAGCGTGTAATCGGATTTTTGGCCGCAGCAATGCGAGAGTTTATCGAAATGAATATATCGGTAAATCACAGTATGGCAGGTGTATACGTATACATTATTAAAATAAAGCATTATACCCGATTCGTTTGGATCGTACTTCAAATCACACGCCAATATTTCGGTCAAACATCGAAGCAACGGAACCAAATCGATTGTAAATCGACAATTTGGTTTACATACATCCAAGTTGTTTGACCAATTGAACCAAATGTCGGATATTAAGTGTATTTGCCGATGAACACATGATGGGAGTTTTTTTTTAGTAAGTTTTATTAAACCACATGAATTTTTTCTAATGTACGATGACCTTTTCTCCAATCCGACTCCTACAAAACGTAACAAAATGTATACAGCGAAACATTTTTTGTTTGTTTATTTTTGTGTATATTTCTAATCTGAAGAGATATAACGTTAATATCCATTAGATGAAGCAGATAAAGTCAAATATAATAAATTTCCATGGATAATCCTTATCTTACCGGACGCTTAACAATATTCAGATGAGGTGCAACGATCTCTCGTTCATTCCCGCTCTTCTCTGTCGTGATTGCGAACTTCAAAATGCATAATTTGACCAACGAATTCGATCAAATGTCGTACTCAACATTTTACTAACGGATTTCAAGTAATCATAAGTATCTCTTTTCATTTCATTCTGCTTTTTTGGTTTGGTTGATTTTTTTCTCGTCTTTTGTTCGCAATCATTTTAATTACGAAACATCGACGTGAACCGTGTGTGAAGACAAAGAGGCAAAGATAAACAGAATGAAAAAGCCGATCGATTACATTGTGTCAAATGGCTGTTTCTCTCTCTCTCTCTCTCTCTCTCTCTCTCTCTCTCTCTCTCTCTCTCTCTCTCTCTCTCTCTCTCTCTCTCTCTCTCTCTCTC